ATATATATGTATATGTATATATATATATATATATGTATATGTTATATATATATATATTATATATGATAGTATATATATGTATATATATATGTATATATATATATAATATTTATATATATACATACATATACATACATATATATATATATATATATTATATGTATATATACATATATATACATATACATATACATATATATATACATATATATACATATATATATATATATATATATACATATACATATACATATAAACATATATAATACATATAATATATACATATTTATATACATATTATATATACATATTTATATATACATATTATATATACATATTATATATATATTATATATATATATATACTATATATATATACAATAATATATAACATATATATATGTATATATATAGTATATTATATATATGTATATATATATAAATATATATATATATATATATTTATTTTTATTTATTTATATATCTGGTTCTTAATAAAACTAATAATGTATTATTCAATTACTGACTATGGGAATCCTTGACTAAGGGAATCAACTGTCCACCCCTCAGGGTCACTCAGATTTCTTTCAGTTATTTATTTATATATTTATTCATTTTTATTCCGATTCATTTTTCTAAAAGATTGGTTTGAAGTTTTCTTTAATGTCGTGACTGAGAACCATATTTTATTGCAAGACCTTTTTTTTTATTAACTGTACATATTCCGGGTTTGCGTTTGTTAATGAGTAAAGTTTCCTTTTTAGATATCTTAACAATGTGTATATGGATGTACATGTAAACAAAGAAGGAACTTACACTTGATTGTCAATTATTTCGTTTATAATTTACTAATGACTACAGCAGGTGTGTTTTACCATTCCATAGAATCAATATCTAAATTATGTATTCACATTTTATGCTTCAAGTCTATTGGGTACTTTTAAAGTTGGTGTACTCATAACTGGGGAAATCGCGAAAAGTGTGTTAAGGCTATTCTAGGATAAGATAGACTAGCGTGTCCTGATATAAAGATTTATTCTACACAATTCCACATGATCGTGAAATTTGTACGACTGGGTAAATGGTTTTAGTAAAATATAAAAGTAATCACACACGATAAAACATTATCATCTAGTCCAACAATATTGTCAAAGCCTTACAGAGTAAAATATTTCTACAAAAAAATCTAGAGAACGCAAGTATGCGACAGAAGCACGCCATTCATACAAAACGGAATCATATAACAATAATAGGTTACAATTCAAACATTTTTATGACTTCGATGAAGCAATATTTCAACAGTACTTGTAATATATACAGTAATTCATGCTGTATGGTTTATAGAAACCCTGTTATGATAACGTTGAGCATCAATGCATGTTTAATGAAGGAAAAAAAAACTATGAAACAGTGATAATAATAAAAAATAATCATATGTGTGACACTAGGAAATTGCAATGCTAATATCTGACGGTAATAATAAAACAAGATAATGGTCATCATGATAAATAGTAATAATCGTTAAAAAGTCTTCTATGATCCTAGAGCTTATTAAAGCTGTCTGCAAGCTCATTTCGCTTGATTGAACTAAGGTTGAAGTAGCATTATATTGCCCCATAAGGACACTTTATATGCAAACCAAACTAGACCCTTGGCCAGTAAGCCGAAGCATAATTTACATACACTGCATTGACAGGAAAGGTATATTGCTTAGCATTCACTGTTCAAGTACAGTTTATGATTTTAAATATTTCTATCATCCTTATCATTAAATTACACTCTCTCCTCATTAAAACATAGATTTGTTCTTTAACGCTCACTCATTCAAGACACACAAACATCATCATTCGTTTTATCCACTCACAAACGTTTACTCACATAAAACAAATTAATTCACATAAAACGGGTTGTGGTAACACGATTCACCGTTAAACATTTTATGATATTTTATCTATAATGGAATGACATCTGACGGACTGCCGCAGCTGTGAATCTTTTCTGTTTTGTTTTATTTCTTTTATTACTTACGTGAACCAAATCGTGATGAAATACATAAGAACGGAAATAGCAGACGCCAAGAAACAGAAATGAATGAAGTCTTCTTCACTTAAAATATCGTGAACGCCTTGGATGAAGAGACCTCCACGTGCTTCTATTTTCCTCTGTTCTTCCTCGTCGTCCTCTTCCCCTGCTCTTCCTTTTCCTGCTACCTTCTCCTCTTCTGTTCCCTCTCCTTCTTCCTCCTCATCTGCCACTTCCGGTGTGTAGTGCGTGGCAAGGTTCCCATCGTCGGGGAAACGAACCTTCTTCGCTGCCTTCACCGTCAGGAGAGGCTGGCGCTGTGGCTCCGACAAGTCCCCTGAGATATGGAGATCCCTGAAGGACTTCTTGTCGAGAGCCAATTCTCCTCCTGTTGCTGCCCCCTCTCCTCCTCCTCTTCCTCCACTTCCTCCTGCCTCTGCTCCTGCTCTTCCTTCTCTTCCTGCTCCTCCTTCGCGCGTTAAAAGTGATTCGCTTGCATTCACTAGGGAGTTGCACGAGGACCTGAGAAGAGACTCTGGTTCTTTGTTATCACGGATTGGGGCTCTCTCCCCTGTTCTTTCTTTTTCTCTTTTCTCTATTTCCATTTCCGATTCACTTCCAGATTTAATCGTTCTCTCTGTTTCTCCCATTTCTCTCCCTCTCTCTCTTATCTCTGTTTCTCCCATTTCTCTTCTACTCTCTCTTTCTCCTTCTCTTTCGCTTCCGTCCTCGCGGGGCATCAGCGAGTCGGTCTCGGCCTCAATATCCCGCCGGATCGATGTCCCGCCCAAGACTTGTTGCAAAGTAGAATGCATTTGTTCTGAGTTTTCTGTGCGTCCGACATCTTCGTCCGGTCGCTGCAAGTTGCATATTTCCTCCTCTGCTCTTGGAAGACTTTCGTTTTCAGTCGATGGCGTCGTTTCTTCCGTCTCACTTGAATCCTCGCTGCTTACTCTATCTCCGTCTTCCCTTCCGGCAGTAATTTGCGAGTCATTTTCGGTTACATTTTCCAATTTTTCTGACTTATTCTCGGAATTTTTCCTTTCTTTTGGTATTCTGTTTGTTTCTCGGGCCTCATCTGCCTTCATTTCGTCGTTTTCCGCTTCTTCTTTCGAGAGATCGGTTACCAGAGGGCGAGGTTTTGAGAATTCTAGAGTTACCCCTTCAATGTAGGAATCAATAGCGGCAGTGTTTTCTGTGATGCCGACAACTTGCTGTTGCGTCATTATATTGCCTGGGTAGCTCCGAATTGTTATTTCTTCAGTTATTTTATCTTCATTTGTTTTATTACCAGCCGCATATTCATTTGTACTCGACAACTCTTCTGACAGCTGATGCACAGATTCCTCATTCAATGAATCTGTTTGAACACACAGCATTTGATCTTGAATATTGCTTGTTACTTCGCATTTCTCTTCCTGTACAATTGGTGTGTTCTTTTCTCTCCTTTTTTCAAACTCACTCGGCTGGTAGTTTTTCTCAGTTAAAATCGTGTATTCCATGCTTGGTTCCCTTTCACTGTGCAGATTCTCTTCTGGCATAGTTACCTTCTCGACAGCATGATCAATACCCTCACCATTTTCTTTCACATCATTTGTTCCACCATTTTCTGTTATTGGGAAAGCAATCTCTTTTATGGGAGACTCAAAATTTCTGCAAACGACCTCGTTATACCCGGAATCAGTGTGACTTTCAGATTGCAGTGGAAACAGTTTCGACTCATTACCCTTGGGTTCTTTCATCACTTCATCAAGAGCTTCATCAATGTCTAAGGAACTGTACGAATCCTCATTTTCGTAACAGCTAGACATTCTCGCCGGCGAAGTTGGTTCGTCCACGATGATCATCAGAAGTGAATCACGAAACTCGTCCTCCTCCTCATGGAAGTCCCTCATAATGCTTGCGTCTGAGTCCGATTCGTCGGAAAATGCGTCGTTTTCCCTAAATACGTCGTCAATATCATCATCGCCAGGGGACCGGCCGTGTCCGCGGTGTAGGGGACTGTCGACACCCTGGCTAGCTACTGAAAAAACTGGACGTCTTTTGGGGCTTTGTTATTGTTGAAGGTGTCATCCTTCTCCATCGTGGGAATCGAGGCGCAGGACGAGCTCTGCGAGCTGGACTTAGACGTCAGATTGCTGTACACGTTGTTGTTGTTTCCCATGTCGAAGAAGCGAAGCTCGTCGGGCTTCAGGTAGCGGCAGTTCCTCGGCAGCTTCTTTGCGGCGGGAATCACCGGCAAGGGCTCGGTTCTCTTCACCCTCAGGGACCCTCCGCGGGGGTAGAAGGGCTGTGGGTCTGCCTTCTTGACCCTGAGGCTCTGACTGCGTACGAAGGGCTCGCTGGACCCCCCCATGCCGAAGAACTGAAGCTCGTCAGGGTTCAGGGTTCGCACTTTCCCGGGGATGTTCTTAGTCGGGATCGTTGGCACGGGAGGCTTCTCCTTCTCGGCCACAGGAGGCTTCTCGGCATCGGAATCGGACGAGGTGGACGTGCTCTTGACGCGGCGGCTGTTGATCTTGGCGAACTTGTCGATCAGGGAGGCGATGTCCGATTCAGAACGTTCTCTCGGCTTCTCGTCACCTTTGTCTTGGTCCTCGTCTTCTTGGCTGATACTGTCTGTCCGCACCTTAGCAAACTTGTCGATGAGATGGCTGACTTTGCCAGTTGAAGTGTCGGGTACCGTGTCTTCAGAACGAGCGGCACTGCTCTTTTTCCCTTCACTTTTTCCATCACCGTCACTGCTGTCGTCGTCCGAGTCAACATCACGCACGTTGGCAAATTTGCCAATGAGGTGTCCTACTTTGCCATGCGGGGATTCGAACCCGAGATCTTCTAAGACAACTGAGCTACTTCTCACACGACTGTCTTCTTCCTGGTTCTTCTCGAAGTCTGTAATTAGGACGTCAATTTTACTGTGGCTGTCTTCTGCCTTGTTAGTCTGTAGAGGCTCAGTCAGGGCTTCTTTGACGAGAGTCTCCATTTGCATGATTTCATTTTTAATCTCAATGTTCTGCCATTTGGCTTCATCTTCCCCTGATGTATTCTGGTCTTCCTCTTCACTCTCACTGGGTGATGATTGAATTAATCGTTTCTGAAGCAGTTTTTCATTCTCCAATCTGTCAGCGTCTGTGTTGTCTCTGTAACCGTAACTTTTCTCATTTTCTTTTCTCTTTTTCGTCAGCATTTCTTCCTTATTCCTCCAGTAATTTTCGATTTGTTCTCCTCTTTCTGCACTTCCTCTTTTGATAGATATTAAGAGGTCATCGGGTTCCTTACTATCCGAACTACTATCACTGGAACTACTTGAGCTCCTCTGTCTTTGCGCAGGGGACTGTTGTGTGAACACTCCATGCCGAGGGGACTTTACGTCCCTATGTTCACTCTCCTCCCCATCAAGGCTTCTGTGACGAGTCTGTGGACTGCTGGAGGCCTCGTAAGACTTGATGTAAGACTTTACGTCTGAATTTGAAATTTCCCTTGAGTGAGTAGACTCTCTCACTTCGAAAGAAAACTTGTTTGTTTTTTCTTCCAAAGGAGGATCCGGTGTTTGAGCTTGGAATTGTTGTAAGAGGTTCTTAACCGTTTTCTGAGGGTTGATCTCAGACAGAGAGGGGCGTGTTGGCCTTTCCTGTTGGATCTCTCTGTTCTGCTCAGCGCTCTCAAAGGTCGACCGCAAGTCTCGTGTCGTCGACCACTGAATCCTGACAGTAACATCATCCCTCCCAACAGTCTTCGAGGAAGACTGGGCAGATGCGACCTTTTCAAATTGCTGTCTCAAGTTACTCACAGAGTGAGTGACTGAACTGGCTTCTGTCGCTTCGAGCAGCATCGGCTCTGGCTTTTTCACAGCACTGGGAAGATCCATGTCAAATACATCGTCCTCTGACTCCGAGCTACTGAGACGAACAGCAAAATGCTTTCTCAGTTTAGTGGTTTCTTTACATGGATGCAAGAGAGCGGGCGATGCAAATGAATCTTTCACTCCTTGACTCTCAAACTGCATCTTCAGCCTCTTTACCGACACAGGACTTGCAAGAACGTGTGGACGCTTAGTGATAATCTCCGGTTCGCTCCTGGACCGCTGTTTGATCACAGGAGCGTGGGCTTTTGGCTTCGGTTCAGACTGTACCTCACGGACTAAAGCCTTTTCTTCCACAATAATGTTCACTTGCATGGCCGAGTCTCTTGGTGGCTTATGGGTCTGGGGGGTTGTGGTCTCCTCCAGCTTATTGGGTTGCTCAAAACGCATCCGAAGCTCCTTGATAGAGCGTTGTGGCATGCGAATTTCTGGCAATATGGAGGCGGTATTTTTCTCTTCCGCTTTCTCATAAAGGTCGAGACTTCCATGACGGACGATCTCCATCTGGCGTTCCGCCGCCACAGGCTCCTCCTCCGAGAGCTGGCCGACGACCATCACGCTCTTCGTCGGCGATGCGAACGGCAGTTTTTCCTTGGGCGACAGAGGTGACCTGTCGGCGGCCACCGATTCATCTGACTTGGCGTCGAACATATTCTTGAGGGCTCTGACGGAAGGCGTGCCTCCGGAAGGGAACTCGCACTCAAACTCGCTCCGCTTCTGGCGGCGCTTCACCAGTAGGGCGCCGTCGGAGGTGGTCCTCGCCAACCTCCGGCGCTGCGGGGGGGTACTGGGGGCGGGGCTGGGCGGCGGCGTCATCGTGATTCGACCCATGCGGGGATTCACCGTCTTGCTCATCACCATCGGCAGGGGCGAGGCCGACCTGCTGCTCGCCGAGGAGCCGACGGAGAGCGGCGACATCGGCCGGAGCGAACGCCCTGGGATCTCGTCCTCAAGGTTCAAGGACGGCATGGACTTTGTCCGAAGGATTTTCAGGAGCGAGCCGTCGGACTTAAAGGTTGGGGACTCGGCCTTCGGCACGTCGTAGGGGATGGACTTGGTGCGCCACACGGCTGTCAAGCGGGGCGTCGGGGAAGTCCTGGATGCCATGCTGGAGGTTGCAGAGTCCACTCTGTCACTTCCGGAGAGTTTACCGATTACGTAGGACGCGAAGGTCGCCGCGGACATGTTCTCCTCACTCTGCGCTACCTGCGGGAGAGGGAAACGTCAGGCGCTTCGGGAAGGGAGAAGATTCACGTTAAACATGTTAATCAGGGCTGCTTTTTGCGTCCCTTTGCGAAAACGAATATCGTTCTCTCTTTCTGTGTGTGTGTGTGTGTGTGCATATGTGAAAAGAAGTAAAACTAATAGAGAGGGAGATGGACATATGATACGAACATATAAAGCCACATATATGTATAGATGTAAACAAACAAGCATACCATGACTTAGAAGAGTCCAGGAAAAATAAAAGGAAAATAGGAAGCGTCTCTACATAAAACATTTGCAGAAACGCGACAAATCATGATCTGTAAATAATGATAATAATTAAACTAGCAAAATGACATCTATAATTCTTCCCTGTTGTATGAACGATAAATTCAAAATGCTTACGTATCCCTCTGAAAGATCATTTCAGATCTGGCTGATAAGACAGAAGCGTATTGTAACTGCAGGAGCAAAAAACAACACGAACATAATACATTTCACTGTATAACATTTAGACGAATCCCAACACGCATAAAATCAAAATAAATCCTAAACAAACAAACCAGCTTGCTTAGACGATTACACAAAGCCAATTCGCTACAACGCTAGATATTCACCGAGGACGCAATTTTGTCCAGTGAGGTAATCGTTAATGGAATGTCATCTGCGTATCTAATCTGCAACTGGATAAAAAAAAAATAATCTTCGAAAGCCCCAGTGTAGGTCATCTTGAAATAAGTTGTTTGTTGTAAGGTTTCCTTTTTTTTCTCTTACTTCCTTTCCTTCACTTATTTTCTCTTCATTTTTTCCTTTCTGCTTTATCCTCTTTCTGCTTTATCCTCTTTCTTCTTTATCCTCTTTCTGCTTTATCCTCTTTCTGCTTTATCCTCTTTCTGCTTT